CTTAGCGAGGATGTTAAGCTTATCAGGGTGGTTAAAGTTTATATTTTGCTTAACGTTGTTAGGTAGCTCTATTACTACATAGGCCTAAAGATTATTACTAGAGTAGTAAGGGTTAGTAGTTACTCTAGAGCGCGTTAAACTAATAATCTTACGTTTGTGGTGTAACGGCGCAGGCAAGACTACTCGGATCAGTATCGGCGGTAGTGTCACTCAGAGGCATATGGGAGTGCGTGGGACATCAAACGAGCCTTAATTCGAATAGACACCTATAGGCCTTGTACGAAAGGATATCAAAAGTCTACAGAGCTAGCTACAGGGAGTGTCTCCTTATATACTTATCTTAGTCGGATCCGAATCGGATCCGACCTCACAACGAGTGGTTGATGAAGAGGGCGGCGAGTACTACCTCCGATCCGGCTCTGGGATTGGTCCGATACATGGCGAAGTTGTAACATCGTTACATGTAGCACAGTAGGCTGAGTTATTATTTAAGTAGCTAGTATAAATAGTAAAGTAACTAGATCTAAATAGTCTATTTTCTATATATATATGTAGTAGAATAATAAATAGGGCTAATAGAATAGAGAGGTGTTTCCTAGCGTACGAAGTTTAGGGAAGGATTCGTAGACACTAGTTACTACAGAAATAGTTAAGGTACAGCCGTAAGAGACGATCCAAAAGGCTAGAGATAGGTAACCTAGCATACAAAGAGCGGTATAATAAAGAGTTTAACCAGAGCTATATAGAATAGCTATAAGGCTGAGCGGCTGAGAAGTAGTACAGCCCCGCAGCCACCAGCCGCTTAGCGAGGCAGCCTAGTTAGTTAACTAACGTCAAGAATTAGCGAGCTGGCCACCCCACCAAACCTAACCCAACTCTCTACACAACTACCATAATACCATAATAATAACGCTCTATACAGACTTCTTATAAACGTAGAATAAGTCTTATTATAGCCTCCTACTATAGTAATCTAAAACAGTCTCTCCGCGCTCTTGCGATAGCTTTTAATATACTAAGATCCACACTTTAGACGCGCGTCTATAGTACCCAGCCATAATTAGAGATACGACCTACTAACTATAAGCTATTGCCTATTAAAGAGTAGTCTCTTATACAGTAGATTCTAGACCTAGATTAGCAAGGCTTTCCACCCTAAATCATCAACGTACGATAGATAGTAGACGCGTTACTTACTGCGCGTAGCTAAGATCCACCTCCACAACCTATTAGCAAGAAATAGGTACCGCGCTTTATCTAAGGCTAGCCAGAGCGTTAGACAAAGTAGATAAGAAGATTTAATAGGTAGCGCATTTAGTATAAGGATCCTACTATAATCGCAGAGTAGTTTAAGTTAGTAGAGGAAACGCGCTAGATATATAGCGTTCTAGACCAAGATATCTATAACGTCGACGAGACTAGATTCGCGATAGGCGTTACTACAACGTTAAAAGTTATAACTAGTTATTACACGCGTAGGTGCGATAAAATCTCCTTTTTATTATATCTACTATCTACTATCTTTATTTATTTATTTATAGTATATAGCTATTGCTTTTTCTTATTAAGGTAGTGCATCCTTATTACCGTTACAGTGGCTTATTACTTCAGCTTAGCTAAAGTCGTTGCTTCTATAGCCTTATATAGCCTGCGACACTAGTTCTAAAAGAGTTAGTTAGGTAGTCGTTATACAGCCAGGCAATCGCGAGTGGGTAACAGTAGTCAAGTCGTTAATACGTCTAGCTAGTCTCTACCACCATTCATGATCCTATCCAGTGAGGCCCACCAGAGTAGCTGGTATCAAGGCCTCCCACCAAACTAGACTATCGCAGTATCAGACAGTGGCAGGATAACTAATCATATTGGCGTAGAGTGGGTGAAGCACTTCAGTCAGTATACGGCGGCCCGTACAACTGGAGTCTATCGACTTCTTATTCTAGACGGCTATAGCAGCCAGGCTACGCCAGATTTTGATCAATGCTGCGCAGAGAACAAGATTATCACTTTCTGTATGCCGTTATATACCTCCCATCTCCTCCAGCCTCTAGATGTGAGCTACTACTCTCCTATTAAGCGCGCGTACGAACGTCAGGTTAAAGAGCTCGCCCGCCACGGCATCTGCCACGTTAACAAGGTAGACTTCCTTACAGCCTATACGCGGATCCAGCCGACCGTATTTGTGCAGCAGAATATCCAACCAGGCTTTCAGGCGACGGGTCTTGTCCCTTCTTGTTCAGATCGTGTTTTATCGCCGCGAACTATCGTCTAGACGCTGTCTCTACCACAGATAATCACGAATAATAACGTTGAAGCGCAGATGGAAAAACCACATACAGTAGAGCTGCTTCAGCAGCAAGTAAATTATCTCCAAGAGCCACTGTGCCGGTAGCCAGAGAACCCAACAAGTGTTACTATACGCCAGCTTGCTAAGAGCGCTCAGCTTGTAATGCAATCAGCAACGATACTCGCAGAGAAAAATAAGAAGTTACGTACAGAAAATCAGCGCTAACGACAAAAATAGAATCATTAGCGTCAATATATTGCTTCTAGTAGAGTGCTCCAGGTAGAGCAGGTTCAGCAGCTCACTACAGAGGCAGAAAGGGTAGTTGTAGAGCCTGAGCAGAGTGAGAGCAGTCAGCGACGCCAACGTGCACGTTCAAGGGCATATAAAAACTCAGTGTCGAGCTAGATAGTAAATTGTATTTTTTTTTAAGTTTTGTTTAACCATTCTTATAGAAACGTAGCAATGTTTATCATGCGTATAGACTTTCTAGCTGTGAGACGTTAAAGTGCCCTGTTACACGGGGTCTACACGGGGTAGGGGTATACTTGCCTAGTCTCGGTCGGGGTTAGGGCGAGACGGTATGATGAAGTAAACCGTGCGGTAGTTGTCTGGCGATTCGGGTGGGAAAGAGTTATAGGAGTTAACCGTTGGTAAGATAGACAAACCAATTCTATTATAGGATAGAATAACTAAGTATCAATCTATGTAAGAGAAGAACTTATGAGAGTTGACCATAACGAGTGTAATAATGAGATCCAACACATTCTTATACCCATTGCTTCCAGTCCTGTCCTCACTCCTTCCTGCTGGAGTCACTGACTTCAGTCCCCACCTGTGAGACCAGTCACGTGATCTCTGCCACGCGGAGATCATTACCTTTCGACGTGGTTGCCCGATGGTCTCCTACTATGCAGCCTTTGTCAGGAGATCCTTCAGCTGTTACTTGTGACATACCCCTTGTCCGTCTCGCTACAGTGTGCGTCTCGCTACGCAGTGCGAGATCTTACTAGACCTGTTTTATAGTTATACAACTATGGGCTGTGATCGCGAGCTAGCCGTCTTAGAGCTAGCGCATGTTAGATTTTTATGATTGGTGGAACTTAGCAAGGGGGTCCTAGACCGACAGGGGCCTTTTTAAATCGTCGCTTGCACAAAGGGTGAGTGCGGTTTTGCAACTTACTGTAGTGCTAATGAATAGTAGATAGAGAAGAAGCGTGCTAAGATAGTAAGTAAGGGCTTTGACTTGGATAATAAGCTATGTAAAGAAGGGGGCCAAAGAAGACATATGGGCTAAGGAGACCAAGACGTAGCATAGAAAGTGTAAAGTTAGATTAGTGTTAGTAGCCCTTTCGGTTCGGCCGCCGGGCGTAAATAAATTGTGTGTGTGTGTGTGTGTGTGTAGTGTTAATGGCAGGTCACTACTACCACTCATTATCTGGCCAGCTTCAACCTATAGAGGTAATTGGACTACCTTTCCAATCCCTGGCTAGCATTATGGACACTCCGAGAACGGATACAATAACTTAAAGATCAGCCTAGAGTAGCTTACCCGTGTATTTGATCCTCAAACAAGTAAACGAGCGGATAGAAAGCTACGGGTCCTAATTTGCGATAGCTTTAGAACGCACGAGACCTTAGAAATCCTAGAATATTACTTCGCGAATAATATTATTATATGCCGCCTACTATCTTATATATCACACAAACTACAGCCTTATGACGTTAAAGTTTTTAGCCCTCTTAAGATAGCATATCGTGAAGAGGTAGAACGGCTCTATTAAGGAGGGCTAGAAACTATTAGCAAGGTGCACTTTACCTCTATATATAAGCCTACTAGAGAAACAGTAATAACTAGAAGGAACATCACTACCGCATGGGCCGTAAGTGGTTTGTTCCTATTTAACCTCGAGAGAGTCCTTCAAAAGATGCCAGAACCGCCCTCTAAGATAGCTACTCTAGACGTGCTTACTTATCTATAAAACTAATAAGCAGTATAAGTACCTATAACTTCTATAACCCCTATAACACTAGTAACGATAGAGGCTATAATATCTCTATATAATTTAATTAAATATAATACGTATACACGGGATAAGTAGAGTATATAATGCCTGCAGAAGTACGTACAAAAGCTCGCGAGTGCAGCGTAAATATCCATTATAAAATAGACACTCCTTTAAGATTAAAATGCATTCTTAACAAATGCTAATAAGGAGGCTAACGTTCGGCGATTAACTAGGTCTCTTATCTTAGGGAAGGCGAAGGTAATAAGCTTTAAGGACCTTAAAGAGGCACGAGCTAAGCGTGCTAAGAAAGAGGAGAAAGCGTTAGTTACTAAGGTTCCTAAGAAAAGAGGACGTAAGTCTAAGACCTCTGCTAAAGTACTAGTAGAAGAGGTAATTAAGGTAGTAGTTGCGAATCTACAAGGAGAAGGTGAAGAGGCTGACGCTCTAGTGCGAGCTAACAGCATGCCTAGGCTGCGTTAGCTAGAGATAGGGCTATTATAGAATGCACCTGTTATAAAAATATATTAGTTAATAGTTATATTAGTAGTTACGGAGTTTAGGTCTATGCTGTTAGGCTAATAAGGCGTTATTATAATGCATAGGAGACTGTTATTATAAAGGCAAAGCTGATAACTACGTGATCTTTAACTTACTAATAGGATTCTAGAGCTTATACAGCCACAGGGCTTCGAAGCCATAAGCTTAGCCTAGAGAAAATTACGCCGTAAGCGGTCCTATACTAGCTATATGCGGAAGCTGCTCGCTAGGGAAGTACCAATAGGGGTGGCAACCACGCATGAATATGAGCGCTATACCGCACTAAGGTCTAGGGTTAGCCCTTCAGCATAGCTAAAGGTTTTCTTAGTATACACAACTTCATTCGTTAGTATAGGGGTGCAATAGAGCTTGACAGAGGCTATCTGTAGCGGTGTTATTACCTATCTCTAGAAAAGGTGTCTTTTGCGCATCAGCGCGGATGCAATAATAATAGCGTAATTTTTATAAGGAGAGGTGTCTACACCTATAGAAGAAGGTAAAAAACATGACCTCTTTATGACATAGTATGAAAATAACGCGTATACGGAAATATCGTTTTCTGAAGATAAGGTACCCCTCTTTTCTTGCGGCATGGGGGGATTTGCGCGACCCAGGGAGGGACATTATATCACTAACATACAAAAATCCAACTAACTCCGCATCTACCCCACCCCTCTATGCCTTATCCTCGCCCTTCCTCGCCCTCTCCTCCTCCCCCAACCAATCCCACACGCCCTCCAACCCCGTAAACTCGACAAACCCACCTTCCCTCCACGCATCCCCATGCACCTTCCTCCCCATCTCCTCCCCCATCCCCCTCATCACCCCCCTCCCCCACCGACAATACACCCACCCCCTCGTAACAACCCTCTCCCTATACCCCTCCCCGCCGTACTCTTCCTCTTCAAACACCACATCCCTCCCGGTACTTCCCCCATCTTCCCAGCCACCCTTCCGAAACGCCACAACACCGCGGAACACAATAATCTGCGTAAGTGCCTGATCCGCCTTGCTGCGTCGCAGCTCGGCTTTCGATAGAGTGGCGCGCCGGGCTTGTTCGGCGGGGGTAAGCACGGAAGATGGATTGTGCGGGCATGACTGCTGCATCTGCGTGACGTTTGTGCAGTGCATGCGAGAGGGGATGAAGGTGTCTTCTTTGAAAGAGGGAGTGAAGCGATAGAATGTGTGCGGGTCTAGACGCATGTGTAGGGAGAGGAGGGCGGCGCGGGTGGTGAGGGTTAGTAAGGCGGGGATGAGGGATGGGAGGGTGGAGAGGGGAGAGGGGTGCAGGAGGGAGAGGAGAGGGGTGAGGTGCGTGGTTAGTGCTGCGAGGATGGTTTGGATGTGCGCGGTGAAGGAGGTAGGGTGGAGGGTGGTGGCGTCGTGGGTGAGGTGGCGGAGGGTCTGGGAGAAACGGTAGTGACGGGTGAATCCTGTTTATGGAGAAATTAGCATAGAGTATTACGTCGTTGCTGAAGTGGTAAAGTGGGAAGGGGAGAGAAAAACTTACCATCCTCATCTTTCAATTCTCGCTCAAGAGCACTGAAAGCATCCTTATCTTCCTCGCCGAATCCAAAACACACATTCTCAAATACCTGCTCTACAAGCACGTTTCCGATGACTCCACATACAAGCGCCTGTCTCTTCTCCTCGTTAAGAAACAAGTTGTGCCATCCCCACTGGCCTGCCGGCCCGCCACTCGCAACGCAATGCACCACCTTGACCGTCTGTGGCGTCATTTGCGCGTAGATTGAAGCTGGAAGAATACCGTCAGGCGCGGGGATATGGACCTCGCCGCTGAAGAACTCACGGCTGAAGCCCTGGATCAGACATACAAGATGCGTGAGTGCATCTCGGATTTCAGCGTCGCGCATGGCGTATTCTGGCTCGTGGAGGTCGGCGCAGATGGCAGATTTAGAGCCCAGTTCGCGGGCACAGAGATTAGAATCTGTGCTCCATTTTTGACTCGATGACATGCCAGACCAGCCCGGTGGTGTTGTTGACGCAGGTGTCGTGTCGGTTTTGGAACAGCGTGTCTGCGGTGTTGGTTGAGTGGTAGGAGGGAGAGGAAGAGGAGGTGAAGCAGTTTGTTCTGGACCAATGGTGTTTGTAGCATCATTCACTCCTGGGAATTTCCCCGCGGACTCGCTAGAGAGAGATGGTTGCTGTTGAAGAGCAGCACGTTCTTTTTGTAACTTCTCCGCTTGCTCTGTCAACAGTCTTGCCTTGGTTCTCAACTCTGCTGCTCTGAGTCGAGACTCAGGAGTGCCTGGTTCGAGACGCGAGGAGCCAAGTGTTTGAGCCAGTGATTTGCCAGTTCCAGAAGATGGAGGAGTGCTCGCGACTGTCTCTGTTATCGTCATAGTGCTGGATCCGCCGTATCTTGCACTTGAAGGCGTACTGCTGCTATCCGACTTGGATCCCCGGTCATCATCACTTAGTATATCGCGCATGCCCTTGTGCTTGTGCATTATGTTTTGTGATCGTTGGGCTGGCGAGCTAAACGGCCAGATGTTGTGGAGGAAACTGGTCATTGGGTTGAAGGCCGCGACAGAGTAGAAGTAATTAGCGATATATGTCAGTTGAGCAGGAGATGCGCACGATTCTTTTGGCAAAGCGCGTACGCTGTATTTTGTTGCTCTTGTGTATGTGTTGTATGATTGCTTTATCTGTCGGTGTTTGGCCGCATGCGGCAGGCTATTGAAATCTGCGCCGGAAAGGGCGTTATGCTTGTCCTATGGAAAACAAAGGAATTTCAGGACGCCGCCCTCGCCCAAGTGCTATTTGTACAAAGAAAATTCAACTACCGAGATATCTTTTTTTTTGGGGGGGGGGGGGATAGGAAAAACAATATGTAGGAGACGCCAGCTTTACCTCGTGAAGAAGACAAAAATGATGACCAAATGGTACAGTAAAACAACGCGTTCTATACCTGGTGACCCCGATACTCGTACGCCGCCATCGCCCCTTAATAGAAAGAAAGTGCTTGCTACGCTATGCTATGTTAAGAGTATATACATTACACAAAGGAAACGCTAGATGATGGTAATGAACAAAGAAATTGCAATTGCTTTTTTGACTACTTTTGAGGGGTCCAATTCTTGTAGAGACAGGAGCATAGCGTGCCCGCATCCTGGGCCTTGAGGCCAACACTGTCACCTGATGAACTCTTGCAGGATGGCACACCCTCACCACCAGCCACAGCTTGTTCGATGCGCACAGCTAAACACAATGTTAGTATGTGGAAATAGAAGTCAGACAATAGATCACACTTACCAAATGGCCATTGGACGTTCGGGGTGTTTTTGACAGCGATTGTGTCATCAGGATAAGTGCGGAGCATCTTGGTGTATAGGAACGCCTGTATGTTTGTTGCGCTGTAATCACACTCGAAATCACCCTTGCTGTCCCCAAGGGTACCGGTCATGTTTACAGTTTTTGAGCGAGAAATCTGAAACCGGTAGCGCTCCGTCTCTTGTCCTACATCCAACAGCTCAAGGTTTTCGTTCTGAAAGGTCGTATCAAATGTATCATCATGCCCTTTGGATGAGATTTTGTACGATCCCGAGGAACCGGCGATTTCCCAGTTGAGAATGGTAAGAGCCTTTTGCGGATCCGCGTAGTAGTCTTTGTTTGGGGTGCATGTCCAGGTGTTTTGGTTGGCGGTGCACTCTGGTGTGACAGTGTCGAGGAAGACGGCAAGTGAGTAAGCGCCAACGGGGAAGTTGGGAGGGACAGAGGGCCGTGGGGCTGCCGGGGATGGAGCGGGTGGTTTGTCGGTTCCGGTGGGGGAGTCGGCGCCATTGTTTTGGTTGTGATTGTTGGTGCCGGACGCGCTGCCTGCCGATTGAGAACCGTTTGCTGTATTTTGGGATGCGCTACTGTGTAGTGCGTTAGTAAGTGTTGCTTTTTAATGATGAAATGCGGGTGACTGACCCAGCGTGCTTCTTCAAGCCCACTGATAGGCCAACGGCCAAAGCCACGATCAGCACTATCAAGATAGCAACGACCAAGGCAAGCTTCTTCCGTCCCCAGGCAAGTATGCCCCTCCGTCTTTGCCTTACGTGACCAAACTTCTCATCCTCTCTGTCGCTCCAAACACTGACACTGAGATTGCTCCCATTGTTGGCTCGATCCTCATTGGGCGTGTTTAATCTGCTGCCAGTCAAGGCGGAAAAAACGCCTCCCTTCTTCCTCTCATTCTTGTGAACATGCAGCACGGGGCCTACATGCTGATGCGATGGGTCGTTGCAAAATGTGCTCTCGGTGGTGACGTTGATCTTGGCTGTGTTGGCCGGTGACTTTGTGAGCTTGTTGTCGAGGATGACGGAGAGTCGCTGGCCAGCGGGAGTTGAGATGCGCTTTGCTGGCCGGTCATCGTCAATGGGGAAATGTGAGTTTGCGCGACTGGAGCGGAAGAAATTCATCGCATGGGAATGGTGGATACGTGTGTACGAAGGCTATGGCGAGTGATCCGAAGGCCGGGCTTTTGGTCGAGGTGAGATTAACGGCCGGAGCGGCTGGTTGGAGCGACGGCTGCCCCTTGGACTTCCTTGCCACTATGTATTTCACTATATACCGGGGGCATAGGTGTGCGGATGACAGGCAAGGCGGGTGAAGAGAGGTGGGTAGAGGTGAGCCAGGAGATGCTTGGGCATGGGAGAAGGGCGTTGTCTCGGCTAGAAGGGTGGATTCCGTCGAAAGCTTAACCGGGCTAACAATAGTGGACTTGACCGCGAAAGGACTCGAAACAGATGAGCCCTGCACTCCATCACGCACTAAGGACCGTTGGAGTATCGAGGACGGCCATGTGTGGTTAGATCCTCAAGTCATGGCTTGTTCAATGACGGGGATGGCCTCTAGTGGAGCCGCACGGCTCTGCCTCGGGAACGGGTGGTTGTGCATCACAGGTGACTCTAAGTATATTGAAGGTTAGTGACAGCGGCCGGCCTGAACGTGAAGACCAAAAGCCATCCAGCCTTCCTCGGCCCAGACGTGCAGCTGTCACAGCGGAAGACGCAGCTGCTCGTGGATATCACATGCTGAATTTACTTGGTCGGCGGCTAGAATGTTTGTTGTCGTGGTTCGGCAGGGATTGAACCAAAAAGGGGGGGCGGAGCACAGAGAGAGTAAGTCAGTAAGTAGCACGACTCGCTAAATCTCGCGTTCCTGCATGTGAGCAAGGAACACGCCTGCCGGTGGGGCTGCCAAGACATGCAACTCTGACCTCGACCTTATCCTTCACCCTCACTCACCAACACCACGCGTCTTTTGCATGTTGCGACTGTAATGCGCCACTGCCAGCGATATGTAGTACACGCTTTGAAGACACCATCCATCACTGCTCACTCTCACCGCGTGCTGTGTCTCTGCGCTCTTCTGCTGACTGTTGTAGACGCACCTGCCAGCTTCCCATGACGTTTGCATTTGACCCACCTCCCTACCTTTTCACCCTGTTGACCTCACCCATACCCCGCTAAACTTTTCCACTCCCGCCATTCTTCAACTTACAGCCAGCCACCAGCACCCAACAGCTACTGTGAAACCTGTTCACGGCAGTCGACACATTCACGTCAACTTGAGACTGCCACAATCATGACTCCTGGCCGCGTTGTGGTACCATTGAAACCTGGTTGTTCCGACGGCGATCCCTTGCACGTTCCAACCTCAGGCACGCACACCCAAATTGATCCTCCTACATTATACCTTGAGAAGATCGGTCAATTATGGATGGAGCAGCGCGGAAGTGCCCAGTCGGGAGTGCATTACATTCTCGAAGCTCTTCCCGCAGGCTACACCATGTGGCAGAGGCCACGGCCTTCAGATCCCAAATGCTTCGACAAGTATCTGTTCGGACACCCCAGTCATAAGAAATTCGACTCTCCCAACCGATTTTTTCCCCACTTCGAATATCTCATGCACAATGGCGGCAACAGCATAGGGTGTCCCTGTACTGTCTGTCGCGGCGGCTCAGGCCTTCCCCGCGCTATGTCCAACAGCTCCCGCCCCAGAAGTTCTGCTAGCTCATCTAATGTTTCAGCTTCTGCATCTCTTCAGAGCCGACCCAGCAGCACCCACCGCGTCCAACCAACTCCCGCCATGGTTATAATCTCTCGCCCCACAAGCCAAGGAAGACCCAAGAAGCTGAGCCCGGGTCACGATTTGACCAGGACCGACCAAGATGGTACACCCGACGTCTATCGGAACCTAGTTGAAAAGCTCCGAAGCCACAAATGCATTGATCAGCTCATTGAAGAGCCTTTGAGTCCTGATTGGCGAGCGGAACAGGAAAGCATCCCGAAGCTACTGCAGACTCTCAAATCTCAAGAGCAATGGATTCCGCGCAAAGGAGACATTGTCATGTTCATCCGCCATCTGGCTGATGGAGTTACGGTTACGAGACATGCCATCACTAACGAGCTGTGCTTGTGTCACGAGCAGACGGATGAGTTCCTCGATGTCCCACACTGGGAGGCTGGTCTAGTAACAGAGGTGGCCCAAACGCCGACTACTGACCTCTTAGACCCAACCAAGAACTCGAACGGGTCGTGCTCTGACATGAGAGTAGAGCTCATTCCCAATCCAAATAATCCGGACAAGTCTTTGTCAAAGCGGTACAAGTACATCTCATTGCGCCAAAGCCGTCCTTTCTTTCTTTGGAAAGAGCTTCTGCATCATGTAGATCAAGACCTTTGGCACCCAAGTATCAAGAATGCTTTGGCTTTGACTTCGACAATCTCGCTTGTAGGAAAACATCGCTTTCGAGGAGCATGGCCAGAAGCGACGATATACTGCCACGGCATCTTTGTCGGCTCAGAGATGCTTGCTGTGGGTGATACCGTCCGTCTTCTTCCAACCAAGTCTGATCAGGCTGTCTGCACCGATATCATGAGCATCAAATCCATCCGGCTAAAATGGTCAAATTTGGACAAGGCCTCGACCAATGACTACGATGAAGGACGGCCCTTCAACTCGGCAATTTGGTTGTATGGTACCGCCTACACGAGCGATGCTTCTAGGTCAGACAAACGATGGGTATCTAATGCTCGGATCCCCAGAGCAGCCGGAGACTATGGGAATTTCTATCCTCTTCATCCGCCAGACAAGGAGCTCGCCATCCCCTACGCTCGTGTTGCTGGTCGCTTGTACGAGCGTAATGCCATGGCGCACCTTCTTGGGTATGATTCTCATGATACAACACTCAGCCTCGATCTCGGTCGACAGGCTTTGATTGACGCGCGTGCATTTTCTCGAAGAAACGACGAACGCATCGCACAAACTGCCGATGCTACGTGGTACTGGGGTGATGATCGAGCCGAGGCATTGGGGCTCCGTACTATCAACGGGTTAGATGTTTCTAGGTTCAACCTAGAACACAATGTTAAGGCGCTCCGCAAACAATACCGCATTCTCGATGCAGCGAACGCGAACGATAATGAGAGCGAGGATGTGAAGCCCAGTCTGGACAACGTGTTGGGTGGTCGATTACAGCGTTTCATGGCACCTACACTGCCAGTCCGGGCGGCCAAGTCAAGAGAATCTGGCCAGGACAAAAATGATAGCAAGAAGCGGAGCCGTATTGCAGATCTAGAAGATGACTCCGAAGACGAGATCCGGCAGCACACACAGGTCGTCAACAACCGGGTGCCTCTGGTCAAAAAGGCAAGAGTAATGGTCGTTATTGACTGAACAGAAGTATTTCCAAGCCGGGTATTATACACTCTACAGGCATCATCATGGATCTAGGAGCCAGGAAGATCCCTGTTGCGGAAGGGGATTCGATGTAGCATTTCCCCAGCATCGCTGATCACGCACGCACGTGTTTCGAGGAAATCTCTCCGATGTGGAGAAGAGACACTAAGTGTTTATATGATTAGCTAGCGGGATGCCCATGGTATCACTGCATGTGCTTCTATTTGAAGCTAGTTACACTTATTAAAAATACATGTAACTTTAAAAAAAAGGGAGTCAGGGGCTAGGTCCTGGTAGCAACAGACATAGATTTAAAAAACTCTTCTCATATTTGTGGAAAGCGCTCTGATGTATCCTTGAATCGTATGCTAACTCCATGGCAAGGGCATCACGGGAAAGATATCAATAGAAGCGAGCTTGAAGACCACAATCTGCACATCGAAGTATATGGCCATGTATACATATGTATATATATACCCGCATACGTATCTATATAATGTATATACCCTGGGTATCGATTTGATCGATTTCTCCCCTCCATCCCTCCGCATATCTGGTAATCTTCTCGCATATAATCATCACGCCATACCCATACCCATTCATTCGCAGTCTCCTGATATGAACGAGAGACGCAAGGAGAAACCCCTTGTAAAAAAAAGGAAGAAGAAAACGCCGGTTATAATGCAAGTCTATCGTGATGTGATGCCGTTGCGTGAGTCGCCAGAATGCACGAACAAAAAACGTGGCTAAAAAATGTGTATAAAGGGTCATGAAACGATTTGCGATCGTTGAGCGAAACAAAGGAGAAAACAAAAAAAAGAAGCCAAAAAAAATTATTTCTCAGCATCAACCAATGCATCGCCGAGGGCTTCGGCGTCGTAGTCTTGTACTACGACCTTTGCAGGAGTTTCAGGTGCGTCACCGAAAACGCCCCAAATAGGACCGGTCTGATTGACGCCGCTGGCCCTCGCCTTGGCCTTGTCTTTGGTCTTCTTGGAGCTCTCGGATCCTTCCTTGGAGGAACCAGTGTCAGCACTCGATTGCGTTTGCTGGCTCAAGACGGATGGGGGGCGAGTAGCAGACTCGGATGGAGGAGCGGGGGTAGCGCCCCATTTGCCAAAGACCCAGCCGCCTACTTTCTGGGTGATGCCAGGGCTGGTGGTGGGCTGGTGGCCATCGCTCTTGCGGGGGCCGCGCTTCTGGTTTGCAATGCTCAGCATGGTGCGGCTGAGCATGCTGCCATCGGTTGCCTTGCTCGACAAGGTGCCGTACGCGGTAGCGCCCCACGCAACTTCTGGTCCGACGGATCCAGCAAGACCAACGCCTGCAAAACGTGGAGAAGAGTACATGAGCTGCGAGGGTCGTGACTGTAGCGTATGGATATCCATGCCAGATATTGAAATGAGGGATGAGTGCGAGGCGTGGCGATGTAGTGACGGACGCATCGCGGAAATGGGCGACACAAGCTCGTCAGGCTCAAACTCTGCAGAGTTGGCGATAGACGGTTCGGCTGTTGACAAAGCAGCCTCCTCACACTCCTCGGGTATCGCGGCTTGAGGCTCGGTCTGCATAGCGGGCGAAAGGGAGAAACTATCGTTTGTAAATGAGTTTGCGGGGCTGACAGCCGAGATGACGGCGCTGGCGGGGCTGCTCTTGGTAGTAAAGGAAATGGGTGTGCTGGAACTGCGCATGTTGGACAGGCTCGGAGGCATGAGACCACGAGACTTGCGACGCGAGTGCCTGATGACGTTCTTGCCTTGGTCGAGCGTGCCCGAGCGTCTTCGACCGAGAGACGGCACAACGTCATGATCTGAGCTGTAGTCATTCGATTTGGAAGAGCCGAACATGGGAGAGCAAATGGAGTCTGGAGGGCTGGTTGGGCGTGACGAGTCGTATGCCTCGCTAAAGACACGATCGTACATGGATCCGCGGCGCGAGTCGGAGACAGGCGAGCCCGCAAATGAGCCTGGGCCCAGTGTGGAGGCTTGAGACCATCGATGCGAGTTGGGCACTGTGACAGCAGTCTGGTTCAGGATGGCAGCGGTGGAGGAGCGCTCGAGCGTCGGCGGTGGGTCGAAGTGAGTGGGAGTCAGAGTAAATCGCTTCTTCTTGGACCTGCCCCGGGCCGGTCCCTTTGATGGATTCCTGGGCGTCTTTGGGCCATGGAAGTGGTGGTGTATGTGCAGTTCTTGACTAAGTGATTCCTGTTCCATTTCGAGTTCCTTTTGTAGCGTTGGGCTTGTGATTTCTCCGGATTGCGAGGGCGACGTGGGCTGGTGGTCCCTGAGCTGGTCTCGGAGACGCTCCACCTCTTCGTTTGAGTTGCCGAGCATTTCGCGTAGTTCCATGATACCGTGTTGTAGATTTGCGTTGTCAAGTAGAATGTCCTTTACGAAGTGAGAGACGACACCGTTGCCGCCCTTGTCGTGGCCTGCCTTTGCCTTGAGCCGGGTTGCAGCAGAGTTGAGTTCGCTTTCGACGGCCATGCGGCGTTCCATGCGGGCGACGACCTCATGGTGTCGCTGGCGCTCGGCTCGGGATTCCTTTTCGATACGGTCAATCTGGTCCTGGAGGTCTCCAATGGTGCGCTCGGCCGCCTTCCATCGCTGGATGGCAGTCCGCTCGTCGACGAGTTTGGCATCGAGGCTGCGCTGAAGCTGAGACTGTTCCTTTTCGAGATCAATCAGCTGTTTCTCGAGCAACTGGGTTCGTGCAGCCAGGGAGCCGAGGCGCCCGATTTCGTCTTCGGTCGATCGCAGCGTGTCCTCGAGGGCCTGGATGTGGGCGTCGGACTCGGCAACGGTGTTGTTCAAGTGCTCGAGCTGGTCGAGGAGGTCGCGGTTGGTCTTGATGGACTGGGCATTCTGAGTCTCGAGCAGCCTCTTGTCCCGCTCGAGATTCTCAATCGTGGCAATCATTTCTCTGCGCTCGCGCTCCGAGTCGGCTACATAGGCCTCGTGGCGGACTAGGAGAGCCTGCAGGGCAAAAGTTAGCGGCAGGCGCGGGCAGTGGCCAGTGATGGCAAGTTGACGGGCGCACATACTTGGCCGAGTTGAGCAGCCTTGGAAACGTCTCTTTCTAAACCTTCGAGCAGGCGACCGTTGTAAGCCAGGAAAGCACAATCATGGTTTCCGCAGCAGCAGCGAGGCGGGCCTGGAATGCCACTTAAGCCAAGGCCGACGGCGTCCATGGATGCGACCCCTCCTCTCTCTGTCTGGCGTAAACACGGGCGCTGGTTATCAATACTGTTTGGTTAATAATAGTAAAGCCGGTGCAATGGATGTTGTTGGCGGCGCCACTCAAGTCCCGGGAGATTTGGCCTGCCGGGAAGAGTGGAGAGCAATAAAGGGGGAGCGAGGAAAAAAAGAACAAAAGTTATGGATAGGGAATGGATGAGCCGTCGAGGCACGGCGCGTGGTGTTATTGTGTTCCTGACTGACTATCGGCAGCGGGCCACCACTCCCCACTAGCCCAGGTGTCCCTGCCAGCACAGCAATTCCCCGCCCAACGCCAGCCACCGCCTTTTGCGCCCGCCGTCTGCCTCCCACTCGCCGCAATGCTGCCAGAGACATGTGTAGGCGGCGCACACGCCCACGCACCCACCATGGCCACTCTTGCGCCCCTCGCGATCCGCCTGGTGTCGTGAAACCGCATCATCATCGTCATCATGCTCGCAATAGGCAGCCCGACACCGCCAATGCCGCTAACGCGACCCCCCTAGCACCAGCGCCGCTCCCCTGCACAAACTCTGAGATTGCCGGCGCCAATGCTACTCCCAATAACCTCGCAGAATTAGACCCAAAACAAACATGCTGCCTCTTGGCGGCTGCCCCTTCAACACAGAACACGACTGAGACATGCGACAGAGGGCGAGCAATGCAACGTCTCGAGGGCAGATAAAGGTAGGTAGATAGTTAGGTAGGCAGGCAGGCCATGTGAGTTGGAACGAGAACAAAGTTGCATCTCATCTCATCTTTGACCGTCTCTTCCGTCTCAACACCACGCGACCAATGAGATGGCGTTTCTGCGGGCCTCACCGAAACTTGCCAAAAGCAGACTACCCACCAATCCGGCCTTCAATGCGCTCCAACAGGTGCGCGAAAAAGCAGGGTCTGCCACTGTCAGGGCGCGGCCCTATCAGCACCCCACCCCGCCATCACCAAAGCCAGAACAACTTGCCCAGAACCCTTCGCTCCCATCTATCAACCTCGTCCACCATCTCCGTGAGGCTCGACCTGTAGTACGCTACACGGTATATGCTAGCCTAGGACTTATGGCAACTGTCGAGTCTACCTTTTGGTTTCACGTTCTGCGGGCCAAGTTCTTTCCCCGAGCCACCCAAGCAGACCGGCAGCAAGATGATGAACTGCTGGACAGGCTCAAGAGCGCCATGGCAGGCTTCCGACAAGTGTGGATGGGCAACTATCAAAGATATTATGGAGCCCATCTACGGGGTCTGGGCTATGGAGGGTTGGACAGCCTATAAGACCCTGACAGCTTGTCAGCCTGATGCGTCCATGACAACTTGACATGTGTGATTCAAAGCAAGTGCGGTACGGTTGAATGTTCGGCGCGTGTAGGTACGCGTTGATAGAGCACGTGTCAAACTGTCATATGAAAACCTTAGCACATACGCTTTGTATTATACTAGGTACTCCTTCTCCATTGAGATTCCACTATAGCCAGGGATGTCATTCAAAGAACCCGAAACAGACCGTTCAAACAAAAAAGATTAAAACACACCGTAACAAACAACAGCCCTTTACGCACACGACCAACCTCCCAATCTAGCCCACCACCACATACACCCACATCATTCCCGCTCGAACACCTCAGACCTACTTACCCGCCCCACGCACCATGCAGCAGCCCCTCCCGCCCCAAATTCCCAAACTCAGCGCCCTGTATCTCTCACCGCCTTGTCCTAAACAGGCATAGCCTGCCGGCAGATTCCTTCTTGACGTGTAACCAGCCGCCAAGGCCCGACAGCCAAAGAGACACCGAACACGCACACGCACCTTTTCCCGTTATCCGCTGACCCACTCCGCCGTACGGTTACGTGGAGTCATACTACGAGTACAAGCTTGTTTCAGAACAGCATGGCATATGCGCGTGACGACATTTTGTGCGGATGACGAGGCGAGTGAGGCGTGGTGAGCTGGGAGGCTGCGATGAAACGTACGTATGGCGACGTGGTGTGTGGGGTTGGGGGTTGTTCGAGAACGTTTGGGTGGGTACGACGGGAGAGGGAGGATTGGTGAGAGCGGAGGCGAGGTATGATGGCGAGGCGATGGTGACTGTCTGTCTTGGAATCTGGGAGGGTATGCTGAAGCACTTTTGAATTTCATCACGCAGTGCATTCCGTAAATACAGCATTACTGTGTTTTGTGAAGAATGGATTCGAGTGCCTTGTAGACACCTCAAGCTACTTTTTCTTATAACTACGTATTGTAGCCAAGAGGTACCTAACATGCTTGATAGAACGAATACTGTACCTCACCTGGTATTCCCAGAAAGCAAGCCTATAGTCAATCACCGCAATTTATATCCATCTATCCTTTGAGATGAAGAGCAAACCGCCAAACTTCTCCGACATATCCACGAAGTGGATCTTAATCAATCATAAGCTGGACCTATGTTTAGGCATTCTGGTGACTGTCACGTGACTATACGCTAGCTGAGTGGCATGAAACAAATATTCATAACTAGCGCTTTGAGCAAAATATATCGTTGTTCAAGTTTTATGCATAAATAAACCATCTCTTATACTAATATCTCCTGCTATTATGAATCGCCCGACCATCCAGCTCTCTTACAGGATTGTGATCTGCTGATTATCCTTGAGTGGTAGAGGTCATAGTCAATCTACTCACAATGAAGAGGTAGCTGCTGCTGCTATAGAGATCAAATACATACCAGGACATGATATCGAGGCGTGGAGGCTTCGTTTTCCGTGTCGAGACGCCATGCGTGCTTCTGTACAAACACGTCTACAGTATTCCAAGTATACGAATAGTTCACACGTGTTCCGAGATTCACTGCATTCAGTTCCCTCTTCCTCTTCCTCCTCTCCTAGGAGGGCTTCTAACTGGCTTGAGTTTTGCACATACAAAACCGTCCTCGTCCAACATCCATTTCTCGCGATCAATGAGCTCAGTTGGTGTTCGCATCTGTTCGTCTCTCGCAAGTTTATCGGCGCCTTTATTCAGGAGCAAGTTGAAGAGATCGGGGCTGAAGCGGCAGTCATACTGAAAGGAGCTATGGACGTAGTAGTGAGCGCAGGACCAGGAATCGTGCAATGGTGTTGATCCTGCCTGATCTTGGGCGTTGATATCGGCACCATGCTCAAGAAGAAAGTGTATAATCGCAAGCCTTTGGGCTATCTGGGGGTCGTGTGGACGTGACAAGTTGCCAACCAAATGCAAAGCCGTTTTCCCGTTTGACGTGACGGCGCAAACGTCCACGCCATGGTCAACCACATACTTCACGAGGTCGAGGTTGCCGGCGCGTGCCGCATTATGGAGTACTGTTCGTCCGTCTGAAGTAGTGGCCTGCACATTCGCACCATGCGCGAAAAGAAGTTCGATGAGCTTCTCGTGCTGTTCCCGATCTTCGATACATGTATCGTTCTTCCTCGGATCTGTTGCGAGTAGAAGTGGTGTCCATTGCTTTTCACTGGTAGTCGCATCAACCGTGGCCCCTTTCGATAGAAGAAACTCTGCGACATCTGGGCGCCGGTATCTGCAGGCCATATGAAGCGGCGTAAAGCCGTCACGATCTTCTGCAGAAACTTGTGCACCGAACTTGAACAGTAGCTCCGCAAAGCAACGATTGCCGGCGAAATGTAGAGATGTATCCAGGTTAGCGTCTTTAGCAGTTGCTTTTGCTCCTGCAGTAAGGAATGCTTCGGCGAGACTTATATCGTGTTGCTGCTCATAAACAAGGCCGAATAGTGGTGTACGGCCATTATCGGCACGCGCCTTCTCGAGTTGCAGCCCATTACTTAGAAGAAGAAGAATCTCATCTCTAGGGGATGACAGACCATCTTCAAGCAAAGTCCAGAACACATTCAGTCCTGGGACTGGCCTATGCTGGGACAGCCATCCCTCTGGCTCCTCCCAATTTACATCCGCACCAGCTGTGATAAGGCTTTGCATAATACGCAATCGCCTCCCAGGTCGACTGATATCCCATCGACATCGGTCAATACAATCATCCTCGCGCGCTGCGCTTACAAGTGCAGAACTCAAACAAGATCGGTTCTCTGAGTCCAAATCTGCCACAATCCTTGTAACATGCACCAAGGCGAGTTTAACTGCCTCATCGTGCCAGCACAGTGCCGCTCGATCCAACGCCGTAATCCAACCCTCCAGTTTCGGTGCGTCGGAAAAGTCATGTTGTCCCAGCTTCTCCGCAATCGCGCGCATACAATCTACGCGATTCAGAGATGCAGCCAAATGAAGAGCGCTGCACGGCGTCTTAATTCCGAAATCCATTAGCGCTTTCAGCGCATGATGGGCACCAAGCCATGCGGCCCCATTGATAGCATCAACAGGATGTATTGAATTTGGTTCGATGTCTTCCAGTAAGGCTGCATCTGCTCCAGCAGACAGTAGTATGCGAACAGTATCTCCATGGTCTCCGTGGATTGCGAGTTGAAGCGGTGTACAATTGCATTTGCTGCGAGCATTGACGTCTACACTAGATGCAATATGAGACATGACCTGGGCATTGTCGCCCTTGTACGCAGCTTTAAAAAAGGGCAGATCGAGATCGTGTAGCGGCCACGGCTCAACAGCATGTGGATTGTAGCTTCCGATGGTGTCTTCCGGGAACGTTTCAACCATGCTGCTGTGCCTTGATAGCAAAGAGGGGAGTGGCTTGTTGCTGTTTGGCTGCCAAGGCTGCAGCTTGAGAGAAAATGGGAATTACAAGCTTAGCAGTACGTAGCTAGCTTCAAATTTTTTCTAGTACCCAGTAATGGCCACAATGTGCTCTTTGCAGTTACTCTCGGAGTGCCCGACAATCGAAAAGTTTTTTTTGTATTTGCTGGGCTTGAAAGATCAAACAGCCTATTACACTGTTACACCGCAATATATGGAGATTTCTAACATCTTACACTTAACTACCCAATTGGGACTTACGTGAGGCATGGTGTTCTAGGAAGACACATACTGTACATGCAGAAGTTGCACTAGATGGGTACTTTCTTATATATGCATATCACAACAAAATAGAGCTCTAATTGAACAGCACCTCCATTTTCCATTACAACCTAAATAAGTTTGAATGCAATGCAAAGCAGAAATGCTTTACCCGAGAAAGGTATGTGAAGCGTAGACACAACCGCATAACGGAACAGGCCTCTATGGCTTCCTGTTTTATTCGTATAGCTCCCTTGCTCTCAATCGATTGGTGTAACTGAAAAAAAAAATAGACCAAGTGCACTATCTCACTAAGATAAGCCACTTTTGCTACGTCAACAGTGCTACAATATTACAGGGGGGTGACAAAAAAAAAACGTAGTTAAAAAAGTAATAGTTTTTAAAAGATGATAACTCAGCTTATAGAGCACCTATACTTAAACGGGTTAGTCCATTGAAAACTAGATATCAAGTAGTTTATAATGACTATATTACGTAATGCTTAGTAAGCTTATTCCTGGCTACAAAACATGCTAAAGTTCGAGAAGTAATTTTTCTAGATTCTAACTAAATATTTCGCGCTGCTATTTTTAGATCCTATATACTAACAAGTGCTATATATAGTTAGATTAGTGAGATATATAACATATATTAAGATAGAGACATATTATCTATTAATTTTTTGTGATATAGAAATACTTTATTTTAAAACAAGATTTTTTCAATTATCTTCTAGCTACTAACTAATACTTTGTATACCAGCCTCGTGCTTCTACTACTCTAGTATATCAGTTTTCTATAGATAAGATACAATTATCTATATCTCTTTGTAGAATATTAGCCCACTCTTGTTTAATTGCGCTAATAAAAGTATTTATACTCTCATCTATAGAGCCAACGCCAAGAGACCTACTAGGTAGCTTAGTAAGCCGGTCCTTAAGTAAGCTCCATACGTTTTCTATTAGGTTAAGATCTGGGCTATATAGCGGATGCTTAAAAAGTCTAATATAGTTACGCTGAAACCACTCTAGAACGTTCTTAGCTATATAGATCTTAGCGTTATCTTGCTAAAAACTCCAGCCTAAATAGTTTTAAATTAGCTCTACAATTTAACATACTTAGGTAGAAATGTATTATTAAATATTAAAAGAAAAATACAAATATATATTTAAAATATATATATTAAACTTACCTCTCTTTATTTTTGGTTTTATATAGGGTATTAGACACCGCCTAATATAGTAGTGAGAGCGATAAGAAATAGTAGATTTTAGTGTTTTTATTACTACTATATGTTACACGGGGTGGGGTGCTTATACTTCTCTAAACTCGATCCGGGTTAGGGCGAGCAGGGTAGGTGAATAGCTCCGTAAGGTAGTTGTCTGGCAATACAGTAGAGTGGCGTACTTATAAGATAGATAACAATAGATTTAACAATTTCTAATCTATATTAAATAGATTAATAAGTATTAATCTTATAAAGTTAAGTAACTAGTAAGAAAGTATAATTTAAGTTAACTACAATAAGAGTAAATAATAAAATCTATCTATCCTTATATTCTCGTTACTTCTAGTTCTAACATCT